GGGCGCGCGCGCGGGGGGGGCCTCGGCGGCCGCCGTACCGCCGCTTCCGCCCACGGGCCCGCCGAGCTCCAGGGAGGCGGCCAATCGGAGCGCGGCACCGAGAGGCCGCGGGCCAATGGGAGGGCGCGCTGCGGGCGCGGGGCGGGGTTAGGGGCGGGGCTTGCGGCGCGGGCGGGACGCGCGGTCCCGGTGCCCGGGTCGGGCCATGTGCGCGGGCCCGGGCCCGAACCGGCCTCGAATGGCCCCGTACGGGCCCTGAACGGCTCCGGAACCGGCCCCGAACCGGCCTCGAATGGCCCCGTACGGGCCGTGAACGGCTCCGGAACCGGCTCCGAACAGGCCTCGAATGGCCCCGTACGGGCCCTGAACGGCTCCGAACCGGCCTCGAATGGCCCCGAACGGGCCGTGGACGGCTCCGGAACCGGCTCCGAACCAGCCCCGAATGGTCCCGAGTGATCCCGAAGCGGCCCCGAATGGTCTCGAGTGGCCCCCAAGCGGTCCCGAGTAGTCCCGAGTGTTCCCGAACCGGTCCCGAATGGTCCCGAATGTCCCCGAATCGATCCCGAATAGCCCCGAGTGTTCCCGAACTGGTCCCGAATGCTCCCGAACCGATCCCGAATAGTTCCGAGTGACTCCGAACCTGTCCCGAGTGGTCCCGAACCGGCTCCGAACGGCCCCGAGCGGCCCCGCCGCCCCCCAGCTCCCGCCTGCCCTCAGCGGCTCTGGGGAGAGCCCCCAGGCTCTTCTCGCCCCCCTCACGCGGGGTTGAGGGAGAACAGGGCTCAGCACGTCAAAATGGCTCAAAATTTTAAAACAAACCTCTGTATTTGACTAGGAAATACATGGTGTGAGCGCTCCTCACAGAGCGGGGAGACAAAACAATTCCTGCTCTAGCTGGGCACCAAGGACAGATGATCCAAATCTCAGCCCAAGAGCACAAACAACATGGAGTGATGAGAGAGAAACAAGGATGGGATTGCAGGGGCTGGAGATGGAATTGGACAATTAGCTCAAATATGCAAATGGAGCAGAAATTATAAAAGTGAGAGACCCCGTGACCGTTGTCCATTTTGTGACCATTTGGGTTCACCTTGGGTTCATTTTGTGACCATTTTGGGTTCATTTTGTGGCCTTTTTGGTCCATCTGGGGTTCATTTTGTGACCATTTGGGTTCACCTTTGGTTCATTTTGTGACCATTTGGGTCACCTTGGGTTCATTATGTGGCCGTTTTGGTTCATCTTGGGTTCATTTTTTGACCATTTTGGGTTCACCTTTAGTTCATTTTGTGGCCTTTTTGGTTCATCTTGGGTTAATTTTTTGACCATTTTGGGTCCATCTTGAGTTCATTTTGTGGCCATTTGGGTTCACCTTGGGTTCATTTTTTGACCATTTTGGGTCCATCTTGGGTTCATTTTGTGGCCTTTTTGGTTCATCTTGGGTTCTTTTTGGTTCATCTTGGGTTCATTTTGTGACCATTTGGGTTCACCTTGGGTTCATTATGTGGCCGTTTTGGTTCATCTTGGGTACATTTTTTGACCATTTTGGGTTGTGCCGCCCAAGTTGGATCCATTGAGGCCACCTAATAAATCCCTGCTTTATTCTTTCGCTCTCCTGGTCCCTGTTCCAGCTCAGCCTTCCCAAGCCTCAGGAGAGCTGGTGATGCTGGAGCTCATCTCAGCTGCCCTTGCACTGCCCTGGGGAGGTTTGGGGTCCCTAAAGACCCCCAGTGCCACCCCTGCCACCATCCCAGGCTGCTCCAGCCTGGCCTGGGGCACTCCCAGGAATCCAGGGGCAGCCAGAGATTCTCTGGGAATTCCATCCAGCCAGGAATTCCTTCCCAAAATCCCACCTCTCCCTGCCCTCTCTGACCATTTGGGTCACCTTGGGTTCATTATGTGGCCGTTTTGG